GAGGAGGAGGAGGGGGTCGGGAACCAGAACAAGAAGGTGGCAGGGCCAGACTGCTGGCTCGTATCTGCTCGAAGGCCATGCAACACGTACATGCCTAACCCTCGATACCCGCCCTCTTCGTCTTCGATCGCCCCCCCCCCCTTGGGGGCTGTCTCGCTTACCTGCCGCGCGTGGTTGGCGCAGCCCCAAAGAGTGGGGAAGAGAGTGAGGATGGACGGATGAGGATGAGGAGGAGGAGAAGGAGGAGCAGGAGGAGCAGGAGGAGGAGGAGGAGGAAGAGGAGGAGGAGGAGGAGGAGCAGGAGCAGGAGCAGAATGGATGATGATGATGATGATGATGATGATGATGATGATGATGATGATGATGATGATGATAATGATGATGATGCTGCTGCTGATGATGATGATGATGATGATGATGATGATGATGATGATGACGAGGAGGAGGAGGAGGAGGAGGAGGAGGAGGAGGAGGGAGGAGGAGGAGAAGAAGAAGAGGAGGAGAAGAGGAGGAGGAGGAGGAGGAGGAGGAGGAGGAGAAGGAGGAGGAGGAGGAGGAGGAGGAGAAGCAAAGCGGAAGGCGGAAGGCGGAAGGAGGAAGGAGAAGGAGAAGGACGGAGAAGGAAGGAGGAGGAGGCAGGAGGAAGAGGAAGGAGGAAGGAGGAGGAGGAAGGAGGGATGAGGAGGAGGATGAGGAGGAGGAGGAGGAGCAGGAGGAGGAGGAGGAGGAGGATGAGGAGGGGAGGAGGAGGAGGAGGAGGGGGAGGAGGAGGAGGAGGAGGAGGAGGAGGAGGAGGAGGAGGGAGGAGAGGAGGAGGAGGAGGAGAGGAGGAGGAGGAGGAGGAGGAGGAGGAGGAGGAGGAGGAGGAGGAGGAGGAGGGGAGGAGGAGGAGGAGGAGGAGGAGGAGGAGGAGAAGGAGGAGGGAGGAGGAGGAGGAGTGAGGAGGAGGAGGAGGAGGAGGAGGCGGAGGAGGAGGAGGGGGGTCGGGGGACCAGGACAAGAAGGTGGCAAGACCAGACGGGCGGGTCGGGCCGGCGGACCCTACAACGGGCGGGCCGGGCGGGCGAGCCCGGGAAGGCTGGGTCGAGCGGGCGGGTCGCGGAAGTGTCAGCCCTGCATGTAAGTCTCGAGCGGTACTCCAAACCCCTTCGTAATCCGATGTCCAATCTCGAGCGGTACTCCAATCTCGAGCGGTCGCGATGCGACGCGATCCTCCGACCCATCCTCTACTCCGACCCAATCTGGGAGGCCTGGATATCGTTGCGAGCAGAATACCGACGGCCAATTTTTCTGGCATCCGAGAACCTGGAGCTTCAAGCATCGAACCCTGAGCCAGGTACTCCAAATCCAGTCTTAATCGACCCCCCGACAAAAACCGGACCCCCCTCCAAATGCGACCTGATATTCCGGACCCCCCTCTTCGACGGGGCGCCTTAATAAACCGGACCACCTAAGCTCCAATCCGAAGAAAACGCCCTAATAAACCGGACCCCGAAATTACCAAAAAGGCGCCTTAAAAAACCGGACCCGGGGGACGATTAATGAGGGATTTGGAGTAGCGCGATTCCCATGTAAATCGTGAGGACGTCCAAAGCGAGAGCGTGGTTCCTGACTGTCGTGGGCGCGGCGAAGGAGTAGATTGCGCGGGAATCCGGCGCGAGGCCACGATTTTCTCGATCGATTGTAGGGGCGTCGCGCGCGAGAGCGCGATTTCGAAGAAAAGTGAAAACTCTACGAGGCTGGAGCTGTTGTTGTTACTGCTGGGGGCCAGCAGCCCAGTCTGAGGCTCAAGGCTTTCCCTCGTAAAAGACAAGGTGCGAGTTCCGGTACGGGCACTTCACTTGAAAGACCACACCGGGCACCGGGGGGGCCGATCAACCATAGTTATCCCTATAAATCAGAATTCAACGCAACAGCAGTCCTCACCGCGGGACCCGACTTCAGCCATGCGCCCAGGGACAGAGAATGACCATTCGGTTCCCTCACTCTGATTAAGACTTGTCGGAATGTTTGGTTGATTTTGGCCGCATGGGGACTGCTAGCAACCCGCGCTGCGACCGGAACGGAGCCGCTGGGGCGTGCTCATGCTTCATCACGGAATGCCCCAGCACCTCGGCTCGTTGGCCAAGTTACGCTGGCCAATTCGGCGTGCGAGTGACGCCAAAGCGAAAGCACCTGAGTATGATGAACTCTCCCTCTGAGGCGCCCTTGCACATGCGTTGTATTGAATTCTGCTGCGCCAGCCGGGGGTCGCCCATCGCCGGACCGCGGGGGTGGCTCAGAACACTTTCGTGCAGCTCCAGCCTTTTGTGCCTGCCGCCGAAGGGTCGCACTCCCGCATGCAGCTGCCCCACTCGTTGTTCTTCAGGTAGCAGTGGTCGTCCATTCCCGAGCAGCAATTACGGGGCCTGCAATCTTCGCCCCTCACGGAGCAGGTGCTCCAATCTTCGGCGACAGGTTCGGCAGTGCGGGCGCCAAATTCCTCACAATCCCAAGGTTCTTCGTTAAGATCCCCGGGCATTTTCTTGCCCTTGGTGCAATTCTTACGGCAACTCGCCCACTTCGAATTTTTCTTGTAGCACTGGAAGCCAGGTTCGGCACAACATCGCGTCGCGGTGCAGTTGTAACCAGACACTGGGCAGTAGTTTTTGTTGTATTTTGCGACTTCTGCGCCAAAGTCCTTGTTGGTAGTGCCAGTCGACGTTGTCGACAAGGTCGTAGTGTGGGTCGTCGTCGTTTTTGTCGTTGTCGTCGCCGTGCGCGTGCTTGACGTCGTCGACGTACTTGTCGACGTCGATGTCCTTGTTGGCGTCGACGTCGTTGTTGACGTCGTCGGTGTTCTGGTGCTGGTGCTAGTCTTGCTGGTTTGCGTCCGCGTCGTCGAATTTGTTGCTGTGCTAGTTTGCGTGGACGTCGTTGTTGACGTCGTCGGTGTTCTGGTGCTGGTGCTAGTCTTGCTGGTTTGCGTCCGCGTCGTCGAATTTGTTGCTGTGCTTGTTTGCGTGGACGTCGATGTTGAGGTCGTGGAATTTGTCAGTGTCAGTGTAGCCGTTGTGGTGGTGTTTGTTGCCAAGTCAGTTCGCGTCGACGTCGATGTGGCGACCGTGGCGTTTGCACGTGCTGGCGTGGCCGTTGTGGTGGTACCCTCCGCTGTGCTGCTTCGCGTCCTCGACCGCATGGTGGCTGTGGAATTCGAACGTGTCAGCACAATCGGTGTGGCTCCGGGGCCGCCCCCCTTTTTCCCCTTGGCACCTTTCTGTGCTCTCGTCCCGGCGCGGCCCGCCAGCTCTCCGAGCGCGTCGGCGGCCGCCTCGGCTCCCGACCGCAGTGTGGTCGTTGTGGTGGCCTTCGCCGTGGCTGCCGCCGAGGAGGTCGCGCCAGTGGCGCCCGCTCGCCTCGTCGTGGTGGCCCGCCGCAGCGTGCCAGGGCGGCCGTGCTGGTGGCGTGCGGTGGTCGTGGCGCTCGTGGTGGTCACGGTGCGCGTGATGGTCTTCGTGGTCGTCGTGGTCGTGGTGGTCCTGCTGCTGGTGTAGACGAAGAAGGACTGGCAGAAACCTAAAGTTTGGGCGCTCCGCGCGGAGTTCTTGGATCTGCGCCGAAGCGCGCCAGGGGCGGCGCTGGAGGCGCCGCTGGGGGGGGCCCCAGCACGGATCCAAGAAACCCGCGCGGAGCGCCAAAAATTTATGTTTATGCCGTTTCTTCATCTTCGATAGTGGTGGTTGGCGAGCCGGTGCCGGTCGCGGCACGTGAGTGGTGGACTTCGAGCAGCTGCTGCGCGGCCGTGGCGCCCGCGGGCGCGGGGCCACGCCGCGAGAGGCAGAGCCCAGCGGCCAGGATCGCGGCCAGGACCGCGAGCGCCGCGCCCTGGGGCCAGCGGCGGCGCGCGGGCGTCCTCTGTTGCGCGGTCGGCGACGGGCCCCTCGCTACTCACGGGGCAGCGACAATCGATCTGCACGAGTGCCACACTGGTGCGTCACGGACAGATGTTCAAGGTGCATCACGGTGCACCACTATAGTCACTATAGCGCTGCACTAGTGTCCCAAGGTGCATCACGAATGCCTGCTACTCTCGTAAATAGACAAGCGCGTTCCACGACTCGCAAAGTACCCACTCGCAAATGGCCTGGATCCGCCATGGGGGATTTGCGGCACATTACACCGAGGCAGACATGTGTTTTTCGGACGTTTGCGAGCAGGCACTTTGCGAGTCGTGGAACGCGCTCGGTGAGTTTCGAGAACGAGAAAACCGCACAAACGTCCACGTTTTTCTAAAAGTCCGCGCGGACTTCCTGGCTTGGCGCTGGGCCCCCCCCCCCCGACCCTGCCCGCGCGGAGCGTGCCGGGGGCGGCGTTTTACGGAGGAGCGTGCCAGGGCGGCCGAGCGCCGAGCCAAGAGGAGCGCGCGCGAAGAGCCCCGGAACAGCTTGTGCGCATGCTGATTTGGTCTGCTTCGGCCACTGGCCTTCGGCCCTCTCCATGGGGGAACGATGCGAGGCGGGGATTTGTCCAGATCCACCGCCTGGGAACCGACGTCCTGGTGCCCCAACGGGCGGTGGACATGGATCTATTTCGGCCCCCGGGTGGCTCGAATATACCCATATCCACCGCCTTCCGAGGTCCCCGAAGAGTGATCCTCCAGGCGGTGGTCATGCATAAATTCCCGCCTCGGGGAACGAAACATGACATAAACATAAAAACTCGGAGGTCCGCGCGGACTTCTCAGATCCGCGCTGGACCCCTCTGTGCGTATGCTGTTTTGTTCTTCTTCGGCTATTGGCCTTCAGCCCTCTTCGAGGGAAACGAAACATGACATAAACATGAAAAAAACTCGGAGGTCCGCGCGGACTTCTCGGATCCGCGCTGGACCCCTCTGTGCGTATGCTGTTTTGTTCTTCTTCTTCGGCCATTGGCCTTCAGCCCTCTTCTAGGGGAACGAAACATGACATAAACATCAACGAAACATAACATAACAAAAACGCCCCTGGCGCCGCGCGCCAAGGAAAGGGGGTCCAGCGCCGATCCGAGAAATCCGCGCGGACCTCCGAGCTTTTATGTGTATGTCATTCTTCGTTTCCCTTGCTTCTGCCCTCGTCGGCGGTCGTCCGTGCGAAAGCCTGGACACCTCTGCTCACTTCCCTCCGGTGGCCGCTGCTCGAGCAGCCGCGCGTCTTCGGCGCCCTTCTGCGCGACGTTTGGGGGCTTGATTTCAGAACGGCAGGAAGGCCCGGAGTCGAATCGCGCAGTCGGATCGTCCATCGACGTGAATCGGATCGGCGGAGATCGGCAGCCAAGTCGGGGAAGCCGAGTCGGCGGAAGTCGGCAGGCCAGTGAGGCCTCCATAGAGACACCGAACTCCAAATCGGAACCTGAAATCGAAGCGAATCAGAATCGGTCGACATCCAGTCGAATCGAGCTGGAGGAATCGGATCTGGGCCCGAGCATAAGGTCGGGCTAGTACCCCTACAGGCGGATGTTGGACGAAAAACAACACATAGTCCCAAAAATGCCCCCAAAGTGCTCCAAAAGAGTCAAACAAATCGTCTCACGATTATCTTTTGACTGTTTCTGGATGCTCCTCCTGCTGTAGGGGGACAGGCCCGACTTCACCCTAGCAGGGGGTCCGTGGTCGAGGCCCTGACCACTGCTCGCCTTCCTCCGGGGGCCGCTGCTCGAGCAGCCACGCGCCCGCCTCCTCCGCCTCGGCGCCGAGGCTGGCGCGGTCGCCTGCCATGGCCGGGCCCCCTCGTCCGCCTTCTGCTGCAGGCGGCGCTGGTTGCAGCAATTGAGCCAAGATGGCTACGGTCGGCCTTGATTGGACAGGACACGCGGGAGGACACAAGACCCTTCCGAGGGCCGCATCGCCATAGGAGTGTAAGAAGGGACGTGTCGCGAGGCACAAGACAGAAGGGTACCCTTGAGCTGGCAGGGTCGACCTACTAATCCGGGCCGACTGCACTCTGGGTTTCTCAGTAAGCGTGGGGGGGTGCACCCCCGACGGGGGTCAAACTCGCCTCGTCGTCGCGCCGCGACGGGGGTCGGGGCGCCTCCGGAGCATGGTGGCTGCCCGTGACGGAGGTCGATGTGGGGCTGTCGGCGGGGGTGACGCCCCCCCGACGCTTATTCAGAAAATCGGAGTACGCACGGGGGCATCTGCCACGCACCTCGGGGACCGAGCTCTCTCCGAGCCGGACGCGCCAGAGTACCCGCCGACGCTCAGACGCTTGCGCCACGTTGGTGCATCGCGCAGGTGCAGATACAGTACAGATCCGTCGCAGTGCCTGCACGGAGTGGGCGTGTTAGAATGTTCCCCTGTTGTCCGGTGAGGTTTCTTCTGTATCTTCTAGGGCCACCCAACCCCCTCGCCACGCGCATGCTCCGAATTCCACCCCCGTCTCTTCTGCGTCCAGACGCCCCCAAGACAACCACAAACCGCCCAAGGACAACCAATCTCGCCCCAATACGGTCCCAAGACTACCCAAGAAGGCCTCCAACTGGCCCAAGAGGGCTTCCAGATGGCCTCAAGATGACCCAGGTCTCCAAGATGTCCTAAGAGAGCTCCAAGCCAGCGCCCAATGGGCCCTCGAGAGACACAAACATAATACCCCGTAGGTTTCGAACTATTTTATAACATACCGTACTAGCCCTTGTGTCAGGGGGACGTAAGACCTGGGTACAGGGGACTCGGCAATCCCCGACGAGGTCGTCAAAAAAATGACGGGGCCGAGCCTGCATTTTGACGAGGCCTCCCGCTGCAGACATCCCACGAAACTCCTCCTCGTCAAAATCCGAGGCGCGGTCGTCAAAAAACGATGGCGAACCCGAGTCCTGGCAAACCCGGGTCTTACGCTCCCCCGATATTTTATAACGTACCGTACTAGCCCTTGTGGGCTTCCGAAAACCCAAGACGCCCCCCCCAGGTTCCCAACAGGGCCCCAGCACAGCCCCCAAAGGCCCCGGGTGGGCCTCAAGACCGCCCAGGAAGTCTCCAAGAGGGCCTGATGGGGAGTCCCAAGACGGCCCACGACGGCCCCAAGATGGCTCGAGAGGCCCGCAAGACAGCCAAAGAGGCCCCCAAGAAGCCCCACTGTGGGACATCGAATCGGCTTCGAGAACTTTGCACTCCAAGATTCCCTTCAAGACCCCAACATGCCTCCAAGAGGCCCCCGAGGCCCAAAGACGCCCCCGAGAGGCTCCATGATGCTTGATGCCCCCAATGTGCCACCAAAAGTTCCCCAAACGGCCTTACGGGGCCCCCGAGAAGCCTTCCGGAGACCCCAGAGGAACGAGGTCGAGTTCACGACCCGCCTCAGTTCGGACCGATCGCTGAACTGCCGCGGGGCGTGAGCTCGACCTCCTTCTACCGCGCGGACGAAGACGCAATCGAATTGGCGGACGAAGACGAGATCGAATTTACGACCTGCCTCAATTTAGACCGCCCGCTGAATTGCCTATTCCGGCGCACCCCTCCTCACGCAAGCGGTGCCTCCCCGAAGCCTGGGTATACATATTTTGCAATCCAGGGAGGCCAATTCCGGCGCACAACCCACGCAAGTCGTGCCTCACCGAAGCCTGGGTATACACATTATGAAATCCAGAACTGCTGATTTCGGCGCGCCCTCAAGCTGTACCTAAGTGCAACCTTTCTCCCGCTAAACTGTTACACAGGCGCTGTGGCGGGGTCCGCGTGCAACTGGATACGTCTGCAAATGCGTTGTTCGCATAAATCAATCGCTGGTCTGGCGCCGTGTTGCTGTATAGTGAGCCGTCGCAGAGCTTATGAACCGCGTCGACGGCATACTTTCGCAAACAACATCAGCTGTTCATGTTTCTGCCGCTCTTCCTTCTCCTCCTCCTGCTCCTCATCCTCCTCTTTCGCCTGATGGGGCAAAACCAAGAAGTGCTATTTGGGCATCAATGTCCCCTACGAAAAAGGGTAAATGATTGGTGAACACTCCCCCGCTCCCCCAACTTCAAAGTTGGCACGCGCGGGGGAGACTGCGGTCGACGTGCAACTCATCAGACCCACCGCCAACTTTGAACCTTGGGGGGAGGGGGAGGCGTTGACCGATGAATCTGGCATGCGTGTTCGCTATCTTTTCCGAGGCCTGTCTGACACCCAGCTCGGCGAGTAGAAGAGCATTCGGCGCAGTGGGGAGGGCTGGGTGGAGGGGACGGGATGTCGGATGTGGCGCGAACGCGCCACGCCTGCCCATACCCCTCTCCGTTTCCTTCTCCCATCCACTGTTCCTCCTCCTCGGCCCCTCCCCTCTCCCATCCCTGGCTCCTCGCCCCTCCTCCCCCCCTCGCATCGGCAGCCAGGACCGCCGGGCAAAACAAAGCCTCGAACTCCACTGGGAGCTGGCCCCAGAGTTAGGTCGGGCATGTCCTCCTAAAGGCTGATTTTGGGCGAAAAAACAATAATCAAACAAATAATAACTAATGGTCAAACATCGTCCCCAGGCTATTTTTAGACTATTTTTGAACATTCCTCCTGTAGAGGGACAGGCCCGACTTAGCCCCAGAGGAAGTGCTCAGCGCCACTCGGATTTCTCCCATGAGCGCAACGACGGGCATCGCATCTCGGCGGCGGCGAGCGCGGAGCGCAGCGCGTATTTCTCGACGAATAATAATGGCAATGGGCAACCTCGGAGAAATGTGAGGGCAAATGAGCGCGCGCTCGGGTCGGGGGATGGTGTCGCCCGTGATCGTCAGCGTTCGTTTCCGAAGTTATGAGCGGGATGGCCGCTATGCTGCCGCAGAACTTCTGCGGGCAAATGAAGCGGGCCGTGCCCCCTGGCAGCAACCATCCTGGAACTGGCAGAAATGCCCGCGAGCGCAGGGTAGTCAATTGCCGTCTTTTTCAACATATGGTCGACGTCGTGCCAGATAGAGCACTGGCTGACCATGTCAAAAAGGCGCTTCGTCAAGCAAGCGTAATCAAAGCTGTGAAAGTGTGTCGCGCCCGCTCTACGCGTGCATGCGAAATCGGTTCGAGGAACGAGGGCGTTGACGGCATGGAGGGAGCAAGCAGGCAAACGACAGTGGACCGTGTTTTCTCGAGCGTCTTGCTGCTGCGAAGATCTCTGCGAGCCGCCGTGCTGTGTGGTCTCGGTCAAGAGCCTACCTTTCGAATCAGCGAGCGCGACGTCCACCCCGAACTTTAAAACGCAACAGCTGTCATTTTCCGCCAGTTCTCCGTTCCTGCACAGGGGCATCCGAGTGCGGGGCGCGTGGAACAGCAATGGTGATGGGGAGGTGGGGGGGCCGAAATCCTCGCGATGAGCCTCCTGGGGTCTTGGTGAAGCGCTTTATCTTTCTTGGGCTGGAAGAGATTCTGCGTCGTTGACCACCCCCCAGGGTGCCGAAGCAACGCTGCCAGAGCGCGGGAAGCGATATCCTTTTGCCGGGAGGGGTGTATTCTTAACACCTTCCTCGGGTTATGTGACGACGGTCGAAATGTTGACCACACTGTCCGCACTGCCAGATAGACGTAGGAACAGAAACACCACAAGAGCAACGCCAGAAACGCGGCCATTGGCCGGCTGACATGGCCACTAAGGAGAAACGGCGCCTTCCTGACATGAAAGGGTACCACACATGGAAAGAGGTGAGGAACCTGGAGCAGAGCTAAAGGCCTGATTAAGGGGCTGCCCGTCCACTGCCCGGCAGGCCCAAAGTGAGCCCTCTGCTTCGCGATCTCGTTTCACTTGCTGGGGATGCGAACGGAACGCACGCGAGCGAACATGGCCAGCATTGAAGCATGTGGATGCTACCCTGTTCAGCCCGGATCCAGGCCCCCTAGATGGGGTCGAAACAGCTTGGGCCGGAGGCTGCGGCCCTCCTCCTCCTCCTCCTTCTCCTCCTCCCTCCAACTATTGGGCTCACACTGACTGGTCCCTCATCTCCTCCCCCATGTCCTCAAAATCTCCTCCTCTCCCTTCGTCGTTCGATCTCTCTTCTCTCTCGTTGTTTGTGTTGTTGTTTCGTGTATTTGTGATTCTCTCTTTCTCTCTCTCTCTCTCCTTTAGTTTTTCTTCTCTATCTCTCTCACGCTCTCTCGTTTTTCACGATGTACGTACAACCGCACACATCGACCATGCATGTCTGTATATGTATAGGTGTATATATACATGTATATGTATATATATATGTATTCATACAAACATCTATATATACACACATATATATATATATGTATGAACACACGTTATAAAATGACGGCGGCGAAACAACCGAAACACGACACCTGCCGGGGCACGACACCTCGACAAGCGACGCGGGGGCGGGGGGGGTTGATGGTGGGGTGGGGGGGCGCCCTGGCAGGCCCCCTTGCTGCGGGGGCGGGGGGGAGGGGCTCACCGCCAGCCCCGCACTGGAGGGTGGGGTGCCGCATGGCGTTCAACGAACTTGTCTGTGTACGGGGCACTTGACTGGGCCAAGGCGTTCGATTCGGTCTCGCCGGACGCGCTCGCCAGATCGTTGCGGAGATTTAGCTGCCCAGCAGGTTTCGTGGACGTCGTCATATCGATTTACAGCGAGCGCAAGTTCGTCGTGAGGGATTTCGGGGCTACGTCCAGCGTGCATCAGCAGAGGTACTGCATATGCCAGGACTGTTCACTTTCCCCTTTCCTGTTCACCACTGTGATGACGACGCTTCTCACGGACGCGGACGCGCTGCTTCAGAGTCGTGCCGGACCGATACCTGAAAGTCGGTTTGCGAGGGAGCTGGTGTACGCGGACGACACATTACTCATAGACTCTGACCCGGACCTCGTTCAAGAACTGATGCGCTGCATTG